ATTCTCCACTATAGGGGGGATAACATACCCTAAACCCTAAACCCCATTGTGACTTCATTTAAAGTCTAAAGAACTTCATTGATGAAGGTGCCCTGGACTCAAACTGGCGCTCCTTGGTGAGCTAATGTCGGCAGCTCCTCAGAAGTTAGGCGGCAATCTATTGAGTTTTACCCTAAACCCTAAACCCTACACTATAGGCTCAAGATTTTTGGGGGGCTCCTGGGTTTGAGGGTCTGGGGTCTTGCAGTTGGGACTGGGAAGTAAGCATCTCTTTGCAATGCTCATCGCCGAGTAGCACTTACTTGGCCCGTGCAAACAACAAGTTCGTTCAAGTAAAAATCCGCACCATCTAAGACCTTGTGACAGAAGAGGGTTTTAATGGCAGGTTACCAAAAAATGGGGGTACCTTTGCAAGGATCCCTATCATAAGGACCATAATATTTTGGGATGTGTACTGGGGTACCTTGATTTTGCAACTACCCGACATGGGTTCTTCTCCCCGGAATTCATGCATGGAATGCCCCTGCTAGCCTTCGCAAGTCTTCACATGTGAATGATATCCGTGAAGCTCAGCTATCATCCACCATGATCATGCTATGTATGTCAACTGAAACAACTGCTACATCTGCCATGGTGACTGCTTGAAGATTCTGCCAGAGGTTTGTGTCCATGGCCCTCGCCATGTTCCTTGCTTTGTGGACAGATGCTCTTATCAATCTAAGGTTAGAAGTATGGCCCCTAATGCCCCTTTGGGGTGATTCTACGGACCCTGAAGGGTGAATATAGGGTATATGGTAGGTGTATAAGGATCCTAAAGATAAGGGCCATACTGGGGGCCCATGATGTTGAGCTTAGGATCAAGTAGAGGCAAGGCCTCGCTTAGGAATCGCCAAGTGCTCTTTGATTCTTCAGCTCTTCCCAGTCCTAGATTTTCTACCCCTGAGGACATCCTGTTAAACAAGAGTTTGGGCAAATGAGGAAACCCTATGACATAGGATGGGTTGGAAAGAGCGGGTTGTATGTGGAGCTGTACCTGGCAGCAGCGTAGCCGGAGCTCAGGCCCTCTTAGCAAACAGGTAGGTGGTTGAGAAGTTGATGAAAAGTCGACCTGATTTTTGAGAGGACTCCGCCAACAACACTCTGCAAGACCTCATACGGAGGAATCCTGCACCAGAATTTATGCCCTACACAAGGTCGTTGCAACAGTTTGGGGGGGGATCCTAACACTGCTACTGTTGACTCCACTTCAACAAGCCCTGCCAACCTTCTCGCAACGCTTCGTCGCCTCAGAAGGCTGTATGGAAGTTTGCTAGTATATGATACTATATTACAATATATTACAGTATATTACAGCACAATATTATAGTATATTCTAATTATAATATAGTACCGTATATTAGAGTATATTGCTTCTGAGGTTTAGGGTTGCTAATAGAGGTTCATCCTGGGGGGGTGAGCCTTTCGGGCTTGGAAGGGGGAAGGACAAAGGGGTTCATGGACTACATCCTGCGTTGCACGTCACTCTGAAGACAGTGAAGCCCTGTGCTGTAGGGACTGTCATGTAGGATTCAACCCTTCGATAGTCGATAGTGACATTGACTTGCGGCCTCTGGCTGCATGGCACAAATTCCTTCAACCAAGCGATGGTGCAAGCTTCACTCTCGCAAGTTTGTGCCAAAATAGAACGAAAGTTGCCCCAGATGCAATCTGTTATCCTTCATGCCACTCCGTGCGCCTCAACAAAAAACAGTTTTTGAGGTGTAAAGCGCAACACCTTCCCAATGCTTGCTCACGTTGCTATACTTAACTCTCTACTCTCGAAAGGGGCTGGGGCGAGCTGCGAACCCTCTTTGTCTTTGGGCAGTCCTTACACGCTACACAATGAGCACCCAAAAACAACCCCGGAATCCTGATGTTCCCAAAATCTTGGGCTTGGGGTTTGATCCAATATAACGAAAAAAACCCTAAGCCCCATCCTTTCTGAGGCTCCTACCCATCTTTACTGGCGTGCGGCTGGAACTCACCTGCAGGCTCAACCAAAGCGGTGTGGAGGAGGGTTTCTCTGGGGCACGGGCGTGTACAACAAGGACCCATCCAGAAGAGGGCACCGCATGTATCATGTTCAGAGTACACAAGAGAACCACAACAAGTCAGGGAAATCCGAGTGCAAACGCGGGATGGTAGTTTCGCAAAATAGGGGGACCCGAATATCGACCCCCAACTGCTATAGTCCCTATTATTGGGACCCCCAAAAGGGCAGATAAAAGGTGCCACCACTGCCAAGCCATAATAATCATACACTTCACCAAATCCAAAACCTGCAATATATTTACTATGACCCAAAAACCCTAGTACCTAGGTATTGCATACTTGGATCCTGAACCCTAAGCCCAATGTCCGGAAAGGTGATTTCCCAAAGATTCCGGCGTTCCAAAATGATCCCTAAACCCTGAACCCTAAACCCTAAACCTCAAACCCTGCTCATGATCCAGGGGCCTTTTTGAGTTGCTGTAGTGTATGTCTACATATATATATATATGTGTATATATATATATATGGAGTCCCCTTAAGTAGATAATAAGATCCCCATATCTACCCCATATTCTGTCTACTTAAGGGGGACTATATCTGGAGATATGGGGTTTATGGGTTTAGGGCTTGGGGATGCTGAGTAGGGAAGGAACAAATTGAACAAACGGAACATGGAGACTAGTGTAGGGCCCCCAACCCCTCTGTTAACCCTAAACCCTAAACCCGAAACCCTCATCCCCAACCGGAAAGAACAAACGTAGTACTTTCAATTTCTGCGTCTCTTCTCCATTCCGTACTAACCATCCGAAACCCTCCCTTTTCAACACATAACTCACCAAACCTTTTTCCAGCAGCATCAATTGTGTTGTTCCATTCCTCAATTGTCTAATAAAGTGATGGGCGGACTTCCGTGCCTGTTCCAGGCGATCTTCCATCTGCCTCAGAGAAGGTCCAGGCCACAAAGCAGGGTTCGGGGCCTTTTTTTTTCTCTAGGTTCTTTTCTCCGTAAGTCATGCTCCCGAAGACACCATTTGGGCGCGGACCTACTCCCATAATCGGTGGACTAACGTAGTCTGCCTCCGCTCAGTAGTTCTGGTCCCTGAACCCTCACCCTGGGGGTTCAGAGCTTAGGACTTAGGAATTGAAAGCTAGAGATTGGGGCTTAAGGATTCAGGCTTCGGGAGCAGGAAGAGGGAGCGGGAGAGAATGGAGTAGGGCCCTCAACCCTAAGCCTGAAAGTAAGGGTTTCTCAACCCCCCCCTCCCCAAAGCCCTTCGCGCCTCTTCATGAGCTCCCGCTTGCCCTGCTCCTCGGCCAAGGTGATCTCAGCAGCTCCCAGACGCTGGAGCAAGCTTGAGACCTGGAGATTTCTCGAAATGAGCTACAGTCTAGACTCCTTAAAGGGGTTATATAGGGGACTATATAGGCGAGTATTATAGGTCTTATAAAGGGGCATACTAGGAGTTCAGACTATACCAGGAGTTCAGACTATAGTATGACTATAGCTCACTACAGCTCAGTGGAATGCTGAAAGACTCCCTAGCAAGGAGGGTTTAGGCTACGGGTTAGGGTCTAGGCATTTCTCAAACTCACTAGCAACTATAAAGCTTAGGGGTCAAGTTCTAAAAAATTGTCAAAACAGAGTGCCGCAAGAATGCTAGGGAAAAACAGCTAGTGCTTTGCCTTCAGGATTACAGTAGCAATAATAATCGTAATAGTGCCCCCTAGACCCATGATACTAATATATTTTGATAAACATGAAAATTATTTCCCAAGCTGACTACAATAAACAGGGATTCTGCCATGCCTTCCTTGAAGATACGATAGCGATGTACTAAAAAAAATGCGGGGTCATTCTGGGTTCCCCCTCCCGAAACCACAAACCCTCAACCCCAAACACCAGCTTTCTGGGGATTTTTGAAAATTCGGGATACCATTTTGGGGGTCCCAATAATAAGGATTTTAATATATTGGGGTCTATATTGGGTTCCCCTAACTATGGGAAACTACCATATCTGAAAGCACTTGCAATTCTCCTAAGGCCTAAAGGAAGGGGACTTTGTCAGACGATGATCTGAGCCAAGGGCATTGGTGCCCAGTGACTCGTGGTTCTGCAAGGCAGTCGTGTGCACGCTCTGGATCTGCCCAGAGATCCTCAATAGTGAGTCATGCGGTTTAGGGTTTAGAGTTCCATGAGTTCGACCTGAGTATTAGGGGTTAGGGGGCTGCAAGAGTTCTCAGAAGCCAGAAGCGCTCCCCAACTGCCAGGGAAGAAATGATATGCCTTGGGCTCAGGCTAAGGTCTTTCTTGCAAACATGAATTTGAAAGTGCCAGCTTGTGTGGATGGCTGTGGCTCAGCCGGAAAAGTTAGCTGCGCTCACCAATGAAGATAACGTATCTGACCTCCTCGTGTAGCCGGCAAGTAATGGTAACATGGCTGGCAGCACTGGTCATGCAGAAAGATATGCCTGACCATGACATCCACAGCAGGAATGATCATTACAGTTGCAATGGCGGCGACAGCGGGAAAAACAACTCATAGAAAGAGAAGCATGTTGAGATGACAACGCAAACTACATGCAGATAGCGGTGGCCATAATGACAGCGCGAATATGCCCACCGTAGCCAAACAGCTAAGACCAATACATCACCAACAACGATAGATGGTGACCCCAAAGACAGACATGAAGATAGTTGCAGCTGCAACAGCGGCAACGTGACGGTCATGCCACCACAGCTAGGAGCCAGGCTGGCGGAATTCGTCCGTGATCCTCTGCTCCATCTTGCCCCGCAGGCTCTCAGCCTTTCCAGCAAGACTGAAAGTGCGAGTCAAGCCTACAGTGAAGACTGGTAACCAGAACAAAATTATCTTGAAGGGCTCTAGGGCCTTCGGGGCCCATACTGGCGAGCCCGTGAGTAAAGGACCTGAGCATATAGTTCTGGAAGCAGAACATGTGCGAAGACTGAACCTCATCTACAAGCAGCCTGAATGGGGCTGCACTCAAACTTATATGTCTTCGGGCCTCAACACATTCCACCACTCCAGGCTGCACAGACTAGTATGGGCTTCCCCTATGACTGTTATATGAGCCATAGTCTAGACTCCTCGAATCCCCCCTCAATAAGACCCATCGTAGTGCCCTACATAATCCCCTATATAAACCCTTTTAAGGAGTTTCGACTATAGCTCATATGACTCTTACAGGGTTCTCATTCAAGGGGCTGGGGTTCCCAAAGCCCTTTAATTCTTACAGACTGGTATAGTAAAATGTCCCAGGACTGTGGTCTGACTTAGGTGGACCCCACCCAATATTAGTGACGATAAGAGGTAATAAGGATTATATTAGGGTCCTATTATGTTCCTACTATGCCACTATTACAGGGTGGGGGGTCCTCCTAAGGTATGACTAACGTATTCCTTCTCTGGATGTTCAGCCTGTCTTTCAAAGGCCCACTGAGGAGTTGCTCGCTTTTTCTCCCTTCGCTGGTACAAACACCTTCCCCCAACAATAGCCCTCAAGATTGCCTAGCATCTAGCCGTACTAGAGTGGGAATATTTAGAGTTAGGGGGCTCCAGGGGCTGGGATTCTTGTACAGAGGGAGTGACTGCATAGCTCACTCCTCAGCTTCCAGGTAACGGCGTGAAGAATTTCTCCAAAAGGGGGAGCGGTTCTTGGGACCCTGGTTATATACGTGAATTGAAGGGATAGGGGCAGTGTGCCTGCTAAGGATGCCATAGGGATGATCCTGGGGTTAAGGTTTAGGGTTTAGGGCTTAGCGTTAAGGGTTTATGGTCTAGGCTTAGTGTTAAGGGCTTAATGTTTAAGGTTTAGGCCTTGGGGTTTGGGAAACTCCTGGGTTGAAATCAAGGACCTAGACCCCCAGTGAAGCAGGCATGGGTCGAAGTCTAAAACTGTACGACTACAGGATGACTTTGGTAGGTTACCACTGCTCCTGAAGCACCTGAAGAATTGTTTTAGGTCTCAATGTTTCTACCCCCCAGCGAAACCTTTTCAGACAGAACTTTGCGCTGTAGGGGCATCAGCCACAAATACCTGCAGCATGTGCAATATTCCTGCCTACATCATCAAAATAATGTTCTTGCGACTGTGCGATAGACACTCAAGGCAGCTTGGAAACGCGTCTTCGTACAATTTCAAGGACGCGAAAGAAGGTTCTGGGAACCATTGGCGGCTGTAGGTTATGAACTTGTCACCTGGTTGTTTCTGGAATGTATTCCTACCTCGCAAAATTCAGGTTTACAGGCACGAAGGGGATTGAAAAAGTCTGGAGCCTCAGCAGCCAATGCTCCGGTCACGCCTTTGATGTCCTGAACCACGCGGTCCTTCCGGTGTTTCATTTGGAGGGGGAGGCTTCTCTTCTGCCAGCTCCAGCTTGGCAAGGGCTGCATGAGGATCAAACACCTTTAACGCTTGCAGTCGTCATATTTGGAAAAGGTAATCGGGATGTTCTTGCATAGATGTCGGGACATTCGATGGTAAGCCCCAGGCTTTCATGAGACCGTATCTTCCCCTGGGCAAGCACTGAGTACTAGGCACGTGTCACGTGGCAGAAGCCCTAAACTACTCATCATGGTCATCCCGTATGAATGCAAACCTCCACTTGCCGCTGCTACCAAAATTCTGCAACACTTTTATCGCAGAGGCCCAGTAAAACTCGCAAAGGCTTACATGGGTTACGTACAGCATCAAAGCTGAAATGACGCATGCAACGCTGCGTCCTGTACAGGTTGTAGGCGCTTGTCCACCTGGGGCAATTACTTTGAAGGCTGGTGGCTCAACTTCAAATAATTCCAACTTCAAGGCTCAAAACGAAGCCTGTATCAATCAGAATTCCACAGGTTTGGGAATGCATACTACGTGGATCAGAGGCCATCAGGTCTCGGGCTTACAAATTGGGGTGAAGGTCTGAGGCTTTTGCACTTAAGGACTGTGTGTCTCAGTTGTTTGCAGTTTAGCAGATCAGGCTGGAGAGAGGTCGGTGGACGCGTCTGGCACGATTCGTTTGCAAGGCTGCTATAGCACAAGAGAAGCTCAGGAATCTGGGTTGCTGTTAAGGAACTTAAATTCCGTTACTATGATAATTGGACCGTATCCTTTGCTACATTACCATATTCTGCCAACTTACTTGAAGTTCCTTAACAGCAGCCCAGGAATAGCATGATCCCTGTCCAGGCGGCAAACGCTTCCTAAGAGTGTGAATAAAGCCGTGCGCAATACTAATAGAAGTGATAGTGCTTGACTGCCAGTACCAGGGTCGCACATGCGTTTTTGGAGCTTGATGTGTCGTCCCTCCCGAAACTACATGCAAACATCTGGGACCTACATGGACCACTGAATCTACGTAAGCCCTTGAAATCGCATGTTGAAAGCGCTCCACGCGTGGGCCTGTGCCAATATGGAGGTCCAATATATAAAAACCAGGAGTCTCCCATCCACATCCATGACTTTGAGGAATCCTAGGCCCTAAAACCCTAAAATTGGATTTGGGGTTTAAGGTTTAGGGGTCTAGGGGTGTAGGGTTTGGGTCTGGGGGTTCAAGGTTTAAGGCTCAGAGTTTAGGGAGACCACCTCCACAGACTGCCTCCCATGTAACCCCCGAAGCCCCCAAGCTCCAATCCATTTAGGGTTCAGGGTTCGAACCACATGACCCTAAACCCTAAACCCTACCCATCCTTACTGTCATTAAACACCAAAAAAAACACATCATCCACAAAAGGCCCAGCTAAGCTCAGGAATTCTCTGCCTCCTGGGATAGCCGCTGCTCGGTCCTCATGATGGGAGGTTTAAGATTTGACGGTTTCTCAGATGAAGAAGGAGGTTCCAACAGGACTGGAAACTGGGTTGGTACTTTGTCATGTAGAGACCCATCTTATTTCCATAGGGTTTTGGGGGGTTGCTGTACTGCAGCTATACAGGGGTCATCAGTTATCAGGGGATAGTATAAGTACTTACTCAGGCTGCTACATTGGGGTCTGGGGTCTTCGGTTGTTGGTTTGCGTGGGTTTGGGATTGAGTGGGTGGAAAACTACCGCTGTCAACCAAACAGCTGTAGTTCAGTGTTGTTGAGGGGCGTGCTATGGACCAACCGTAGCTATCAGCAGCCTTTGGCTTATCCCAAACCTCCGAGCAGGTACATCAGTGCTCCATCGACTTGTTACGGCATCGCTAAATGCATGACAAATCAGCCTTAGATCCTTTACACTGTCAAAGCTCAACACCCCAAAGGAAAGCAAATTACGTTGTCCCCTGTCTCAAGTCTCATTACGGGGCGATAATCGTAATTAAGAACTCTGTTGGCAACGTATCCAAGATAACGGCCCCCAGGCCCGCTAGCATTCAGTACGGGTAACAAGTGCATACATTGGAGGGGACAGGTGCTGTTATGCTGGGGGCAAGCATGAATCCCGAGGTCACCCCCGCGCACCCCCAGGGTAGGTTAAGGGCCCAAATAAACAGAATCGCATACAGTTAGTTAAGGATGACACAGGAATAATGTCAGGAATCATTGGAAAGGAACTCCTACTTCTAGAAACTCCTACTTCTACAGTACCTGGACCCCAAAAGTATGTAGAGCAATTGCCTTTTTGGCTGTTATTATGGGTCTGGGGCTATTATTTTACGTACTTTTTGGGTTAGGTGCTCCCTAAACCCTAAACCGAAACCCCTGCAAATCCGGGCATCCCGGCTCTTTCAGTATCCGATCCATGCGTTGTCGCCAGGAGTCCAGTGATCCCTGGTATGGCTAAGACCTACTTAGGGATATACTGCGATGCATGGGTTTTTTTGGGGAAATGAAGGTATATGGGGATATATTGGGGTAATTGAGGGTGACTAGGGGTAAATAAAGGTAAATAGGGGTAAATAACGGTATATACAATAATTTAGGGACATGCAGGGTGCAGGGATAAGGCTTCAAGGTTTAGGGTTTAGGGTGTGGCCGGTTATCCAAGGCAAGAGTCCCTCAAAAATGCCACTAGGGCAGGGGTTAAGGTTAGGGTTTAGGGCTTAGGGTTTAGGATTTTGGAAGTTTGAGATTAGGCTTTTGGGGTCTACAGGCTCGGGTTTAGGAGTCAAGGGTTCTGCCTGCAAGAAATGCAGCTGATTTGGTATGGACTGTTGTAAAACTCGGG